TGTGTGTGTGTGAGTGAGTGAGTGAGTGAGAGAGTGTGAGTGAGTGAGAGAGTGAGTGAGTGAGTAGTGGACCGACAAACAAACAAGCAGCCGCCAACCAGCCAGCCAGCCAGCCAGACAGACAGACAGACAGACAGACAGACAGACAGACAAACAGAGATGCGACACGCTGACTGAAATACGGAACGTATGAGAACGAGATGGAAAAAGTATGGGCAGGGAAGAAAACTATTGTGTCTGAAAAACATACACAACGTATCAAGAGACGAAGATAAAAATGCAAACAAATAACAAAAGAAAAACCAGATCCACTCACACCCTGCATTTTCTTTACGACACATTTCCACTCCAACGTTTTTCGGTTATTAACAGAAGAGGTACTCTCTTACCATAATTTGATGCAGGGTATGCCTTGTGATGTACGAGTATGTAATTCCCAGTTTTAAAAATATTGAACGTCACAATACACAAGTTTTCTTCCCTGCCCTCGAAAGACAGATTGTGAAAGATATGTTGCAAATTTTTTATTTACTCACTGGATGATTTTGAATCTGTATTTATACGCATAGACAGTGGTGCATTGCTATCCATGTGTATTTCGAAAGAGAACCTTGTAGTAGACACAGTAATGTAGATATCCACTACTTTGAACGTGCTGTTTGGTTTTTTAAAGAAAAAAAGAATAAAAAGTTGTTAATGTTTTCTGAAATAGACTTACTTTCCCAATGTATTTAATTCGTTGAAAAGCTCGGCTCAGATTTCATTTATAATAATATACATGTATTAGATGCCCATTTCAACACAATACTAAAGTTATATTTTGAAAAAGCGAGATCTCGTTTTCAACTCATGTGTCTAAGTACTATCGGAGAAGGACATTTTGAAGCTTCCTCCTCTCATGTTATCTTATAGAGTTGAAGGCACGTTAACCCATACCATAATTATTATACCAACCCAATCGAACCAGTGATATTGAGCCGGGCGATATCATTCAAAGTCGAGTTGTTGTTTTTTTTAATACAGAGGAAACCCACAATAAAATGCATTACACCAGAAAAGTAAGTCCATGAGCAGTAGGCCAACTTCCAACAACTTGGCCGCCAAACAAGATTCTTAGAAGATTGCCAATTAGCCTCAGCCTGGTTTGCCGTAACGCACCTACTTTCGTTCAGTTGCATACACCAGATTAAGTTATGAAGATACATGCTCTGATGAATACGTTAACTAAATCTCTGCTCAGCATGGCTATTCAAGCGTGTATAATTGATAGGTTGCATGTGCTTCACTTCGCTCCCCCCCCCCCCTTTCCCGCCCCGACACAATTAAGATAATTAAGGCGGGCGATCTACTTCAAGCCAACCTGTCAGGGCCAACCTGAGCTGTTTTGAATACAATATCTCAGCAGAAAGACAAAGAACCCGATAAAATGGGGCTTTGCCATTCTGGAATCGAACTTATGTCGTTTACATCCAACTGCGAAAGCCCTATCACAGGACAGACAACGGTCTATAAAGGCAGGGTAGGTAGGTGACGTTTTTAAGAGCCAACCAATATGCCAATTCTGTATTCTTTAAAATAATAGTACAAACGTTTTACGGAGAAGCTCTTCTATGTCCTTCTAAGATCATTTTGTCTGTGATCAAATCAAAATAATTATCACGACCCCCCCCTCCACCCTCCACTCTTTCCAATTCGTTTTCACTCCATTGTTGTGGGTCTTGTAAAAGTCATTGTAAGGAACGAGTGATAACAATTGGCAATTTCACAAGTAGGATAAATCATAATCTACCACCATAGCTCAAGTAACAAATTATTTATACGCCCCCCCCCCCTTCCGCCCCCAAATCGACTCTGCTAAAACCATTTAGGAGGTGGGCTGTTTCAACCCCGCCTGCCTGAGCCAACCTGGGTGATAGGAATACAAAGTCCTAGCAGACAGGAGGAAATACACGATAAAGATTCTTTCTCCATTGGAGTCGAACTCACATCTTCCGCGTGCGACGGTTTAGCTCCCAATTGTTACACCACAGACGCTGGTTTGTAGGTCTAGGAACTCTTTCGAAATCAAAATAGGGAGTCCAAAGTAATTACCAAAGACTGTGTTCCTACAAACCATCTAATTGTGCTGAGTGATGCCTGTCCAATTGAGCTTTTCTGTGTAAAGGGAAGCAAGCACCAGAGAACACAGATAGTAAAAGAATTCCTTCGCTTATGTCCCTTTAAAACGTAATGTGTAATTTGCCGGAAAACTGTTCAAGTTCTCAGTTCAGAGATCAAAATGTGTAAGGACAGAGGGGACAAAACCACGTATTCATTCTTTTAAGAATTAGACCTTCTTCACGTATCTTTCTTTGATTTTTTTTTCAACATTTAGAATTTGAATTTCGACAAAATACCTATCGAGCACATGCAGTCGAAGCCACAGATTTAAGAAACTGTAATTTTCTTTTTTTTAAAATTTGCAGCTGAGCACATTTTCTTCATTTTTCATTTAAACACCACTTGAAGGTTTCGAGACAACTCTTTCGCTGACTACTTCTGCCTCTGTTATTATGGGTCTTCAACTCTTTCGGGGAGCAATTCTCTTACGTCTTAATATGAGGACAGTCCCTCAATCTAACTATACATCTCCTTCGAGGTATTGTTTCCGTAATAAATCTGGCATTAGTTGTTTTTTTGTTTTTTTGGTTTTTTTTTAAAGTAAGTGTTTTACGGCGCTCGCAATTGCATAAGGTCATATGAGCGAGCGGGACACACCTAACATTTTCAGTTGGTAGGAAATTTTGAATTTTGCCCGGGTGGCGGCCGAAGTCTACTCTTATCGATTTTAGACCACCAAGGGATCTTTAACGTTAGCAGCTTGCTCACGGCCCTCCGAGATTTTTCGCCCTTGTCCGAGAAAGCTAGGTGTAGATCTTTCCTACCAGAAGATCAGGGGTGGGGCTGAAAGACAACAGTAAGAAGACGTCAAGGAGCAGCAGTAGAAAGGCTGCAGAAAGAGTCAGAAGTCCAGATGAGGGGGCTAAGGAGGTGAGGGACAGAAAGAGGAGACGAAAGCAGACGACAGAACATTGCTTGAGAAAAGGAAAGGGGGTGAAAGGAGACAATTTTAGAGAAGAAAATGTTTCGGTCGCTACTCGGATTCGAACCCGGAACCTTTGAATGAAAGCCAACACCTTAACCTCTAGGACACGAGAGCCCCCTGGCATTAGTTTGCTGACAAAATTGTGCCATACGTTGAAAATATGAGGTTTCTGCCACATTGCAACGGGATTAAAACATTTTAGACTAAATTCGTCCTCATTCTGGGGTAAATGATGTTGACCTCTTGCCTGTCTGACCCACTAACCCCATATCTCTCTCAAGACCCCCCCTTTTTTTTCAATTGCAGAGAAATCGATAGATCGATAGATAGGTAGGTAGATAGATAGATAGGTAGACAAATATATATTGATGCGACTTGGTCATTCAGTACTATAATTGGTTACGTTTCACACAAGCGTGCGTGCTGGGGGAATGCGAACACATTCTCACTTCTCATCCTATCTCTGCATTCTCTCTCTGCATTCTCTCTCTCTCTCTCTCTCTCTCTCTCTCTCTCTCT